ATGAGATGTGAGCTAATTGTTTTTTTCCAATTTTACATTAAAATACTGCTGGTTAGATTGTGAATAAGTATTTGATTCTGTATTAGGTTTTACTCGCAAAATCCAATACAGAATTTTGCTTGGAAAAAAAACTGCTTTTGACCCGTACTGTAGTGAATTTTGGGTATGCTGCATTTCTGTCTGCCAAAGTTTCCAAATATTGTGTACACGCAGTTGTTTCATTTGAGGCTATTTTCACGTAATCAAGATCCGTCGAATCTATTTTTTGTGCCTATCACCTGAAAACTGTGGAGAAACTTTGTGTGCGTGTGTGTATCGGAATTGGCCAAAAATTGTACCAAATTAAAATTTTTCAACCGTAATTCAAATGACCGAAAAAAATTCGAGCAAACAAACCAAACTAGCGCCCTGAAAACTTTTTTGAAGCAGGTAAAACCCATTTTAAAAGTTTTTCAACGCCATTTTGAGAACCAAAAATTCAAAAAAAATTGCAATAAAACAAATTGAAAATTGAAAAAAAATTAAATTTCTTTTTTTCTTCTTTTTTTCTAGTCTGTTTTTCTCAAACAATTTCGTCCACTTCAATTTTGTCCACAATTTTGTCCACTATACTACTATGACTGTCCATTATGCCTATTTTTAGTTTTGCGTCAGATTCTTTCATCACATCATGCAGAAAAAAATTACACTGATTAAAACGAAAGCAAGGCTTTTCCACACTCTGGATTAGATGTTTTACACTGTCAATTGGTATTTAATACGTTGTGTTTCACGTTAAGTATTTCTCGTTGTGTATTCAAGACAAAGTAATATTTTCTAAGAAATTTTTTGGAGACTTTGGACGGAACATTCTGAGCTACTTGCACATCAATTGGCTATTCTTGCTAGTATTTGATTTTATGCTGCGTTTTTTGGCGTGAACACAAAATAAAGTTTCGAATGAGATAGGGCGTCTATTTTTATCATCTTGCAATACATCGAAAACATATAAAAATATAAAATCTGGAAATCCGGGAATAAAATCATAGATGTTTTTTTTTCAAAAAATCTACCATCGCAGCCAGAGGATGATTAATAAGTAGATCAAAGTTTGATAAAACGTACTGTTTGAGAAACAGAACAAGATTTTTAATGGTAGCAGACTGGATTTTTATAAAGTATACCCTCGTTGTAAGCAAATGTGTTTTATTCTCCGACTACATAGCAGGAAAACAGTTTTTCGTTTTGGTTATCTTTTGCCCTTCATTGGTTCCCTGGTTTGAGGTCACCGACATATGTTTCAAAACTCGGTAACTTTTGATCACTTCGACCAAAAATTAGGTGTGTTTGGACTTTTTTTAACGCAAAAGTAAATTAGTTCGACGTTGTCAAACCCATTTCAGATATGTTTTGACCATTTAAACAAAATTTCATTATGTATTGACAGTCTCGACGATCCCGTATTCTACCTCGACTATCAGTTAGTACTAGTAAAACGAAACTAAGGGTATGCTGCTCGCTTCCACATAAACTTTTGTAGTAATGGTTTAAATAAAAATTGCCCCAAGCATCAAAAAAGTGCTAAGATTGGCATCAAAAATTTATGTTTTCTCTATGTGTTGAAAACTTCGTCTGAATTTTTTTTCACAAAAATGCAGCGAAAAAGCTCATCTTGAAAACTATATCATCAAAATAGAAAACAAAATGAGCGCTTGAACCCTTAGAACTCGAAAATATTAAGATGTTTGACTGAAAATCTTTTTTTTTGCCATGAAAAACGTTCTCAGATGAGGTAACGCGACAATTCGTAAGAAAATTTAGCTCGCAAAAAAGTCAACTCGTGAAAATTAGCAATTAGGACAACTTGCAAAGCGCAAATCGCAATGTCATTAAACTTGTAAGATAATCAACTTAAATTACCACCAAAGTAAGACTCGTAATTCCCCTAAATTAACCGTTAGATTTTACTAAATTCCCTAAGTTAATTTAAAACCAACAACTGAGTCCAAACCCTTGGTTGCATTAATTGATATACCATTGTTTTGGTTTCTAAACAAGAAACCGGATTACAAGAAACCAGAAACAAGAAACCTTTGCTAGTCTGGATTACAAGAGTTAGGTTTGGTGGTTGAATATAAAAAAGACGAAGAAGTAGGAAAGGGAGAGATTTTTTTTTGCATTGGCACTCATTCCTGAGAGTGAATTGAAGTTTGCAATAGAAGCTCTCAACGCCATAACAACTGAAAATGAGCAGCTCCGGTTATATCTCAATTTTTTTGAAACAAAATTAAGTGGGGGAATATTTACGTGCAATTCTACGGAAGGATCCAGATTTCAAACCAGCTGCATTGAATCAGTTCAACAAAGCAATAAGTGAAAACCAAAAAAAAACAATATTTCGGTCGAAGGATCGCATAGAGTATTTCACTTAGGAATAGGTTATGCTCACCTTACTGAATCAAATTTCCTTCGGCAATACGGAAGAAGCCAGTCTTAACAAAAACTGTCTGATTAGATTCAAATCCGGGGAAAAGCACTATAAATATCCCCAATATGAACAGTTGCAACAAACGATTTCAGAAAAGCTTAGAAACTAGCAAAACAAAGATTTAATATCGCAGCTGGAAGCGAAGCTCTCTTACTTAACTTTAATATGTACAACCCCTTTATATCAATGAAGCTTCGAGGAGTCAAAAGCTTTAACGTTGTACTGTTATCTGTTTCAGATTCAGGTTAAATGAAAATTTAATCTTCTTCCGAGTATTATACGAATCGTCTCCTTTTGCAAGATGTCTTTCTGTTAAGATTTTGTTGGTTGTTTTTATGCGAGTTGTTTTCAGCTGCAAGTTGTTGTGGTACTCTTATTTGATTGCTGCTGACAAAACTTCAGAAAAGCTTTTGTCATATTGAACTTATTTCTTTGTTAGGCTTCCGACTGCGGGTTTTCAGTCGCAATACTGCAGCTTTTGAATTATTAAAGTCAAAACATAAATCCAGCTCATGATCTCGTTTCGCGCAAAAATTCTTGCGATGTATCATATTAACGAAGCCAAGTCAATTGTGGTGCTCCGTCTCAAAAAATTACAAAATTCATAAAAAACCATCAATTGTTTTTTTGCAGACTAATTCAGGGCAATTCGTTGAATTTGGGTTCATCTCGTATGCCTATAACTACAAGTAGTCTTTCTGATTTTTTCGAACTAGAATAATTGTTTAATACAGTTGATGGCAAGAGCTTTTTTACTTCCATTTTTTGTGGAATTTCAGTTTTGCCTGAGAAATTTGTCATCAAATACAAATCTGAGCTTTGAGAACCGCTGATTATACAATTGAAAGATGCAATAATTACACTATCAATTTAGCATTTTTTCTATTTTTGATATAGGTTCAATGGCCTACCACGTGAGAACTTAAGCGTCAATTGTCTCGTTACCCGTTAATTACATTTAAGAGACTACAATAAATGCTTCTTGCGTAAGCTTAGTTGTTGACAGTAGCTGATTAAGGGGAGTGGGGGGGAGCAGACGCCTTTTTCTCAGGTCCCCCTTTGTACTATTTTGAGATATCCATTTTTGGTTGACTGACCTTAAAATTTTTCTAAAGGAGCCTTTGGCGCCAATCTATACTAATTTTGAGGGGGAGCACGCGCCGATAAAACGCGATTTTTTGGTCGAAATTTCCCAAAAAATGCATAAAAACGCCTTTTTTGGCCTGTTTTTTTTTCACAAATGTTCTTTAAAAAAAGCCGATTGAGTTTTCAAAACTTTTTTGAAAATCCCCCCCCCTCGAGAAATTCCTAGATCCGCGCCTGGCTGTTGATGACTACTTTTTTTTCTTTTTTTATTTAAAAAAACATTATTAAAAAATTATAATCGATTTTTATTCATGGAACTGCAATGCGGGTAGTTTTTCATTCAGATCCTTTTATCACACCACGCCGAAAAACGACACTAATTTGAAAAAAAAATGTTGTATTTTTGTAAGACTAATGGTCGGAACATTCTATGCTACCTGCACTGTAAACGGCTATCCTTCGTTTGGTTTGCAAATGAACTGGCCTTAACCGGTTTTGTTTCAAAAGAATTACGTGTATGAATTTTGTTTCAGTTTGTTCTGAACAACTTTACTAAATATGTGTTCAATTTGTGAATAACGCCGTATAAAGTTGGTTCAACAATCTGGTGGCACATTCAGGAAAAAGTGAACACTTCATTAGACATGAAAATAAATAAATAATCGCTAACCCCTGGGGAATTTGTTTTAAGCTAGTTTTCATCAGTCTGGAACATGTGATACACTTGTTAGACTTCAAGACTCGAGGTTAGACTTAATTGGGAAGGCCTGTCCAAAAATAGATATTAGTTTATATTCACTTATTCAGGTTTAAGTCACTCACAAAACTGCCGGAAACACTAATGCTTGAATGATTCGATGGGCGGTTAACTTTCAAAATGTTTTTGAGTTTGTGTCAGAAAACATTTGTTCAGACGTCGAGTCTTAGGAAAAATTTATTTCACATGGTAAGTTACCAATTCAGCCTTATTTTGGAGAATTGTCAACAACCCTAGACATCTGCGGTCAATTTTAGACTTAAGTCTTCTGTGTTTTTGTTTATCTGAAGTTGTCAGAGTTTAAGCTTAAATTCAACTTAAAGCCTAAACAAAGCCTGATGTATTTTATTAATTATCTTTATCTAGTTTGATGGAAATCGAAGTCCAAAAATAATTAATCTGTGGATTAATTTGAAAAACAATTTTGATTTTGAATAGGAAAAGAGATTAAAACGGTCCAATTATTTTCCTCAGTACTTCTTAAGTTATCATCATCTTCATCTCTTTCTAGAGTTTCGGTCTAATAATGGAATCATAGTGGAAGCCACCAATGACTTTGATGAATTATTTATTCACTTTCATTTCCCTAATTCGTCCTTTTCCTCCATCGTAAAATAGCTCCGGGTATGACCAAAATTAGTTCAAAAAGAAAAGTTAAAAATTGCAAAATTTATTTCTAAAGTAGGACGAAAGTACAATATGCAACATTTACACTGATATAGGGCAAAAAACTATGGGCTTAATTACATTTACTATGCTACTGAATCGGAATAATGCGGTTTATTAATGTACGTTTGCCCGTTGCTTCTACTGCACTCGGCAGCCGAGTTTTTTTCTGAGATTGATGAACAATTTCGTTTCGGCTGCGAATCCATCGGATAATTAAGCGTTGCTTGAGCAACTGGTCTGAAAAATTTGTACCAAATAAGTTCAATACAAGCTGAAAAAAGTGCGAGAAATGCACCAATAATCAAAATGTAAAATACGCCCGCGACATTTTCCATCTCCAGTCCCGAAGCTTTCGATTCGTCCGAAGATTCGTCTTCGGTGCATAAGGATTCGGCTTCGAACCATTTCTGCCTTATCTTTTCCAACTCGCCGCTTTCTTGTAACGAAAGAATACTTAACGTAATCTGTTCTTGGTACAAGGCGCCTTTGCGAACAGCAAACGCGTAATTTTTGCTATTAAATGGCTTGCCTACTGTCATTAATTCGCAATTTTTCTTCTTCTGGTATTGTAAAACCGGATAATCCCACATAAATGCATAATCCCCCTGTTTCACCCTCTTGTACCCGTCTTGCACGTCATTCACCATCGGACTAGGGTCCATGGAGCTCATGTAATTCCACAATTTGTCATACGGTGATTCCTTATTCCCCTGCTCTTCAAAAAACTGCTCCAAACTGCTCCCTTTCACAGTTCCATATGAAATTTTGTTCTGATGAGCGAGATCATTTAAAGACTCGATAGGCGATTCCATTCTAGTGACTGTGAGAAAAGCGGCTAAGTTTGCGGTGTAAGTTGCGATGACAATTAAAGTGAAAAACCACCAAAAAGTACCCAACATTCTCGATGAAATAGAACGTGGCACTATATCAGTGCCTTGCTGCATAAGAGATGCGAGAGCGAACCACATACTGTTGTGAAAGTTGAATTGCAGAGAAGGCTCAACATTGTCAATTCCATAAGGACTTATCCTCGCTAATGCGAACATGACCACCCCAATCGCAAAAGTCGCAATGCAAATGCAAATCCAAACTTGAACTGTTAAGGGTTCTAAAAACCCAAACACGTTCGTTTTTCGCTGTGGTTTCCGAATTAAAATGCCCACGCCGTAATCCATGTATGATGCGGTGAAGTCTACGACTTCTTCTCGGTCGTAATTTCGGATCATTCCCGCGACTGCCAAGTCTGCTTTCCCGCGCAAAACGTCGCCGACCAAACCAGTCCACTGCTTTTTCTCCGGGTCGAAAACACCGTACTGCTTGTCAGCGACCTGAAAAATGGCAAAAAAAAAACATTACAAAAAAAACCTTTTTACTGAAAACGTTTGAATGCAGTTAGTTTATTTGCAAAACTATTTATGATAAATTTTTCTGAGCAAGCCGACCTTAAATTTTTAAAACTAAGACAGTTCATCTGCGAGTAATGAAACCATTTTACAGTGGATGTCTTTTTCATCTTTTGCTTAAAAGACATAAATTTTTGCTAATTTTTGAGGCTTAAAAGTAGTGCCGAAAGAGAGAGAGAACAGAGGTAAACTGTTTTGTTTCCAAGTCAAGTAAAGTATTTGAAAAGTTTCAATTTTTCTTATAAAATTTTCAATGGGAACGTTCAGGTACATTGTGTTTGGAAATACAATTATGGGGCAAAAAGTACAACTCAAATATAATTGTGTTGAGAAATACAATTACGGACAAAATGAATAAATAATTTTTCTACGTTTTTGTCAATTTCTCTACAACCCCGCAAGACAACGGATTGAAATTCTAATGGAACTATTCAAAATCATCTAGCGGAAAATGAAACTTTAATGGAAAAATTTCAAAATCATCTAGCCGCAGGGGGCGGATTTAGGGGGGTGTGGTGGGGCGGACGCTTTTCACTTCCCCACCCCCCCCCCCCCTCAGTGATTCGACCTCCTGCCGACCCAAAGGGTCCCCCCGTTGTACTATTTTGAGATATCCAGATTTGGTGACGGATCCTAAAAGTTTCTAAGAGCGCCTGCGGCGCCAATATATACTAATTTTGAGGGGGGAGTGCGCGCCTGTTTTTCAAAATTTTGCCTGCGGCGCAGAAAACTTTGCCAAAACACAGTCTTTTTAGTGCTTTGAGAGAGCTCGGAAATTCAATTTGGTCGAATTAAAAATGGTCGACAAAATTTTCGAAAATATTTTTGAAAATCCGCCCCCTACCTCCAGAAAATACTAGATCCGCCCCTACCTTGCCGGAAATTACTTATTTCACTGAAGTATTATTCCCGCACTGAGAAAAATGGTTTAAGTTCCATTTTAACTTGAAAAAAATATGCTGCAGATTAAAAAGAAAAGTTAAGATTGATTTGGATCAATTTAAAATCGATCAAAATTGATCTTAAGTTCCAGCAAAAGAATTGATCTAAATCAATTTTGAATCAATTTAAATCTTTTTTTTTCAGTATTTGGTTGTTTGTTTAGGGGATAAAACCAGATTTAAACCTATTTTATTTTTCTGGAACTTTTTAATTTTATCCGTTTTGGTCTTGTTTTGCATCATTCATTGCAAATCATTTTAAACTTTACACCCATAGCATCTGGTAACATAATAATAAATAACCAAACACTTTTGAAAAACTTAAATTCATTTTTAAAACTAAAATCACCGCTCAAGCTTTTTTTGATAACATTCTATGATGCCATTGCATATTTTGAGCACAAACCTGATTTATATTGAACTTTTTTTTATTTATTACCTGGCTTTTTTTCTCAAAATTGGTTTACATTGATATTCTTTTGTGGTTATATAGATTTTTTTTCAGTTGAAAATTTGATTTCTACTAACCGTTTTCTCAGTTCTTTTTGAGCTTTTTGCTCAAATTTTGATTCACAATGATGATTTTCTACAATTTATATGCATGTTTTGAGCTCAAAGTCGGATTTACATTGCCTTTTATGTCGATATAATGAACAGGTTTAGGTTAATGTTAAATTGGGCTTAACTTGTTTATTTTCTATGATTTTGTAAAATCTTTTTGAGCTCAAAATCTGATTGGTATTGACCTTTTTTTTGAATCGTTACATAGTTTTTTGCTCATAATCTGATTTACAAGGATGATTTGTGGCAATTTAATTGCAAGTTTTAGGCTCAAGATGTGATTTATATTATCATTTTTCTTAATGTGTTGCATAGATGTTTGCTGAAAATCTGGCTTCCACTACTTTTTTCTATGATATTAGAGGACGTTTTTGAGCTCAAAATATTATTTCTAACGACCGTTTTCTTGATTTGTTAAGTAAGTTTTTGCTCAAAATCTGATTTGCATTGATGATTTTCTACGATTTGCTTGCATGATTCTAAGCTCAAAATCAAACTTATAATGACCGTTTTTAATTTGTTGTATAGATGTTTGCTAAAATTATGGCAGCTTATGTTAACTTTTTTCTATTATATTGAAGGATGTTTTTGAGCTCAAAATCTTAATATTATCGACCGTTTTTTTTATTTATCAATCAAAATTATGCTCAAAATCTACTTTACATTGATGATTTTCGAAGAATTGATTGCATCTTTTGTGCTCAAAACTTGATTTATATTGACCAGTTTCTTGGTGTTTTTTACTTAGGCTTTTGTTTAAATTGATTTGAAATAGATTTTAAACACAAATTTCGAGCTGCTCGGGGGTCTTTTAAAGTAGATTTAAATGGAATTAAAATATTCGGATAGTTTTTGTAATAGAAAAATCCATCCAATTTGATTCAAATTGATTGCTTAGACACTCAACGCGATCCAAAACTTCAAAAAACATTTCAAAAATCTTTTCAGTTCCTAAAGGGTATATTTTTAATCAATTTGGATTGATTTAAAATTGATTTGTAACTCAATTTAATTCGATCCGAAATCATTTCTGTCAGTGTTCAATAGCTTTTATTTGATCTGGCCCGTCAATCAAACTTCTTTAGAAAAATATTCTTACTGTTGAAAGCAAAGAAAGTATATATATTTTCGCATAATTGCTTCATTTATCTCGTAAATGCATCAATTAACTATTGAAAAATTTCCGCACGTGAGTTTTTTTCAGGAATTACCTATATTGAGAACATAATAGATATAAATTGGCTGTAGCTATATGTAATTTGAAGATTTTGTATCAAAAATAGAAAACAAAATTTGCAATATCAAATTTTTTTTTCTTAGTTGTCTGATGGAAGGCGCTCTGGATTGTCAGCGCACTTTGCATTGATACCCGCCATATTCGTGTCTTGAAACACTGGCAAGCACGCAACTCGTATAAATTAGGTTGGATTATTGGCTTATTAGAAAAATTTTAGCTTTAACTTTTGTTCCAACTGTTGAAAAAATGAGGAGCACATGTGTTTGGAGAGGTTTCATTTTTTCAGATTTTGATTTTAAACCTGCAATTTTACACGAATCACAATAGCTTAATTATGGGACCAATTTAGTGTACACCTTCATGTAGATATCCTTTTCATCACGCTTTTTTCGCGGGCTAGCTAGCTGCGTCTTTAGAACACCAATATAATGGAGTCAATGAAGTCTGTTTCCAGTTCTGGATACAAGTTTTTGCTTCGTACAAAATTTCTGATTTTATAGAAGTTTTCTTTGGAAACAAAAACTGACCAGGAAACTAAAATACCTTAAATTATCTCAAGTTGTTCGGTAAAATGACCTTAAAACACCTCAAAAAACGTAAGCAAATTTGCACCTCCTTATTTACGCTTTAACCTACTTATAAACGGAATAAATTTGTACCTATATTTACCATATAAGTTCGGATTTATCACCCTTATAAAAAACACCTAGATAAACTTTAGTAATTAACCTTAAAAGGTAAAGAAATTGCATATAATTATCTCAACATTAGGTTAATTTTATTTAAAATTGTTTCCAAAATTAAGAAAAATTTTTGTAAAAACACCTAAGTTGAAACTTTTTAAGGTGTTTCAACCTGCACGCCAGTTAAAATGATTCTACCAGTGATTTATTAAAAAACTTAAGGTAAACTTACTTAAGCCTTAAAATAATTATAGGTAAATTCCTTACTTTTCTAAGATAAATTTTTATAGAAAATTTATCTAAATAATTTTCAAGTGGTTGCTTAAGGTTAATAAAATTCAAATTTTAAAGTGGTTATAGGTGAAATTTTCTTTATTTATAAGTAAAACAAGGTGTGTTAAAGGAAATACAAATTTATTTTAAGTTTCTAGATGTTTTAAAGTGATTCATAAGTTTTTTTTTTCACCTAAACTTTTTTGTGTGTGAAAGTCTTCGTTTATTTTGAGACGACTTTATTTGGTCGACAAATTCCATCAACCGATCTTTGTGTCCTTTGTATAGTCACCAGAGAGTCTAACATTAATTAATATGAAAATTATTGTTTCAGGGTAAAATCTCGACTGTTAAAACTTCCAATTTCCTCTTAAACATTCAAAAATTGATAAACATGAAAAAAAATCTTTCAATGATTTTTTTTTGATTTTTTGAAAATATCCCCCCACAAGTTTATTTGAAAGTTAAATGTAGTTTGCGTCTTCGAGATTGCATAAAACCCCGCTTAAATAGAAATTTTGTCTGAAGATAGAAAAAACCGCAGCTAGCACAATTTTCTAACCTTCCAACCCAAACAAACAGTAAAGTGATCAAGATTTTGAATTTTATATCACCAGTATGACTGCTTCTTAAAAGAATACTCGCAAACCAGTTATAGGTTGAATTGAAATAAAACGCCCTCGTTTTGAATAACCCACAGCGGCTATCATTTTGTTCAAGATGCATAAAAAGAAAGTTAAAGCACACATTGCGACCAAGTCAATAAAAGATGATCGGGATCATGTTAACTATTTCCCCCCTATTGCAGTAGGGGGGGGGGGGGGGAATAGTCAACATGATCCCGGTCATCTTTTATTGACTTGGTCACGATGTATGCTTTAACTTTCTGTTTTTATGCATCTGGAACAAAATGATAGCTGCTGTGGGTTATTCAATACGAGGGCGTCTTATTCGCATTCCTATTGGTTGACATTATTTCAATAAAATTCATCCAAACCTTGTTAACTACCCCCCCCCCCCCTATTGCAATAGGGGGGAAATAGTTCAAAAGGTTTGGATGAAATTTATTGAAATAACGTCAACCAATAGGAATGCGAATTGAAATAACGTCAACCAATAGAAGTGCGACAGAACACATTTCTGAGAAATACAAAACCAATCAGGTTGAGCATAAATTAAATGCGTTTTTATAGGGGGGTGGATTTTTTAAAAGGTACCATAGGGGTGGAATAG